AGCATTGTATACTAAAATTAATATTTTTCTTATTTAAAGTCGGTTGCTAAATGGTTGATAGATAATAAGTTTACACGCCCTGAGAAATTAGCTATAAATGGTGGTTCTAATGGTGGTTTACTAGTTGGTGCATGCATAAACCAGGTAGTAAATTGATTTTAATCACTGTGGTGGCTGAATCTGAAAATTTTGGGGGGATAGAATTGTTAACAAAAGGATAATGGAAGGGTGTAAGTGGGTGTTAGAATTCAGCATCAGCCTCCACAATCATTGAGTGTGATATTAAATAACGCTTTTGACTAGCACTAAGCCTCCGCACGGGCTTGGGTACCCATGGGTGGGCCCACAAGGGCCGGACTAGGCCATCGATTTTTGAACTCTAGGGTAAGGGTTTGAAAGTTGTGCCTTTATACCAATGAGCAGGGCTAAAGTATTGCTACTGCCTGCCCAAGCCCGTGTTTAATTAGGCTTCTGCATGAGCTACCAGTGGATGTTCGCGGGTAGTACCGGGTAACCCCTCTATCATAACCATCCGAATCATTTACGTAATCGTTGTTTAAAAAAATATGATTACTACTTAGTACTTTATGAATTTTCAAATTATTTTATTAAATTATATGTATCGGCAAATAATTTAAACTCGTATGTAAATGTCTTGGTGGTCATGCTAAGTTCGTCGTGTCGGGCTGGGGTATTGTTTTTCAGAAGGGTAATTGAGAACTGAGCCCTAAACGGGTGAGGCTAGGGTACTGCTACTACTCGGTCCTACTTGACCCATGCGGAAGCCTAGCTATCACACAATAAAATTCTACAAACATATTTGCTTTATAATATTATTTCAGGTTAATTAATTTGTATGTGCCTTTTTTTTAGGCACCCGAATTATTTGGTGCTGCAGTAGCAGACGTCGGTGTTTTGGATATGTTGAGGTTCCATAAATTCACTATTGGGCATGCGTGGAAAAGTGATTATGGTGACCCTGATAAAAAGGAAGATTTCGAATATCTTTACAAGTATGGTGCACCTTTATTTGATACTTTTTTAATCTTAATTTTATTTGGTTACATTATCTGTGAAAATTTGATATTTTCAGGTATTCTCCGCTTCATAATATACAAACTACTAAACCATATCCTTCGGTTTTATTAACCACATCGGATCATGACGATAGAGTGTGATTATTAATTTTATTAATGATTTTAAATTAATGTA